ACTGACAGAGCCCACTGATCTAATGGCGTTGTTGAGCGCTCCAAATGCAAACTTTGCATGCAACAATCAGGCAGCTGACAGCACTCTGATCTAGTGGCATACAGGCATCGTCAGATGGACAGTACTCTAGCCCAATAATGCTGGGGGATCCAGTGGGGGCAGTCATATTTCAGGGTGACCGTGCCACTCTTTATCACAACCCTGCTAAAAGTGCCCGTACGTGCGCTCATTGGCGCCCCTTCAGCTGGTGGCGCCCTAGACGACCGCCTAGCTCGCCTATGCCTAGAAACGGCCCTGCACACATACACACCGGACATGACTGAAGTTCAAAGATGTATTGTGGTCCTACATTTAAAATAAAATGCTGTAGAAACTGTTTTCACTTAGAAATTGATAGCACATTTCACAAATAAATAAAAATAAATGGCAAGTAACACATTGAATTAAACGTGAATTTTTGCAGTAGGTAAATTGAAATAGCATTTTCTTATGAAACATCCTCCACTAATCTTTGTTTTATTTACAACATTGAAAAATCTATATTATTTAGATTGTATAAAGCCCCTGAGCCAGTGTTAAGTAAGATTTTAGTAATATTTTGAATTAGATTTTACTTTATATTTTTGGTTTTCTTTTTTATATATGTTTGTAAATAACACATGTTTATTTTAGTTTGTTCCATTTTAGTACTTCAGTTTTAGCTATTTTAGTAGTTAAAGTAATTGAAAATTAGAAATGTTTTCTTGGCAACTCGCTGAAATAATATAAATAAAAGTCATTATTTTCAGTTAATGTTCATTTTATTTAATGTAATAAAAATATATATTTAATTAAGTTTTTAGTTTTAATTAACTACTATAACCCTGCTCTGGGCACCAACATTTTCACATAATAAATTCAAACAATGTCACAATTTTGCAGATTTGCAAAACTAAACACACTGTGATGAACACACGGTGTGTGTTTTTTTTAATGCAATTCATGCATTTCTGTCAGCATCAGTATAATGCACTCAGAAGCCTCAGTTAGTGCAGGTAGTTTCTCTTTTCTTCAGTCATTGTTGTCTCCCATGCAAATGCTGTTTTGCTTGTTTCATGAATGCCCAATTCACAAAACGTTGTCTTTTTTCTGTCTTTCTTCTCTAGTTGCATGTGCTCAAGGTTTGCAAGCCAAAGACAAGACGGGCTCCAGCGACCCCTACGTCACTGTACAAGTGGGAAAGACCAAACGCAGGACCAAAACCGTTTTTGGCAATCTCAACCCAGTCTGGGAGGAGAAGTTCTTCTTGTGAGTCTCACAGAAAGCAGATGTGTTTTCTGTTTATATACCTTCTGTGTTGCAATGTGCTTCTAACATTGTGCTGATGGTAAGGGATCCAGGTTGGTCTGGATCAGTGGTTCTCAACTGGTTTTGCTTTAGGAACCAGATTTTACACTGGGACTCTAGTGCAGTGCAATCAGCACAGTACTGATTTTAATACAGAAGTAAGTAAAATTAACCTTAAAATCATTATCATTTTATATTAATATAAAACGATAATAAAATGATTTTAAAATAAATAAAAAAAATAACAAAATTTAAATGAAAAAAAGAAATAAATTGTAAAAAATATATATAAATTATTATTATTTTTTTTCATTTTTATGTTGGCTAATTAGACTCTCTTCTGGCAAGTGACAGATGAATTTGCACGGAGTTTAGATGCAAAGTCTTTGACGTCAACAACAAAGGATTTGGGATTTTTTTCTCCTCCCTTTCAAAACCTGAAGCTTATTTATTTGGCTGTTCTAATTATGCATGTTTATATGGCCTGTTGCATTTTTATATTGGCATTCAGCCTTGTTTTTCCCCTTGTTTCCCACGACCCATCAGAACAGACCCGAGGCTCGTTTTTAGGGCGTGACCCACCAGATCCACTGCTCTAGAATATCACGCTCTCTGCATGAGCGCAGATTGAGGATGAAAACGTTTTTATGAGATTATTGGACACTCTTATGCAGTGAAGCTTTTTAAAATTAAGTTGAACTCAAAGGGCAGAGACGCAGTTTCCATTTCACAACATTTCTGCCACTCAGTCACAAACAAATTTTCAAATGGCATATGAATTATTCAAAGTAGCCTTTCATTAATTTGACATTTTCTGTAGAGCCCTTCCATTACGAGTATGAATATTTTTTTGGTTGATAGTCAAAGGAGCTTTTTGGACTATTTGAAAAAGCTCTTCGGGTCATAAATGAGGAGTAATGGAAATCATTTGTATTCCCGTTGGCTTTGTCATGCTCTCATGGGACTGTTTCTTTTCATATTTCTGATAGTATATCCTTGAGGCTTCTGCAGTCATGGGTGCTGCGTTATAGTGAGGCTGGACTCATTGTCCTGTTCCATTCATAATCCTTTGTTAGGATTTGATGTTTCTGATGATGCACAAAACCATTAAATCAGAAACCTGAGACCTACAGCACTCCTGACTGTGGGAATGTTGTACAAACCAGACAGAACTTTATTTCTTGTGTGGTTTGGCTGAACTGGAGGAACGACAGGAGGTTGTTCCTGATTGTTAGTTGCTCTTTTCATTAAGCTTTTGCTGAGGCCATTATGAGATCCATGCGCTCAAATTTATCCATCCATGGATGGTTGGATGGGTATATGGATTGATGGATGAATGGATAGTTGGATGGATGGAGAGATAGATGGATGGATGGATGAATGGATTAATATATGGATGGATGGATAGATGGATAATTGGATGGATAGATAGATGAATAAATATAAGGATGGATGGATAGTTGGATAGATGGATAGTTGGATGGATGAAAAGATGAATTGGTGGATATATGGATGGATGGACAGAAGGATGGATATATGGATGGATGGATAGATATATGGATGGATGGATGGATGAATGGATGAATGAATGGATGGATGGATGAATGAATGGATAGATGGATGAATGAGTAGTTGAATGGATGGATAGTTGGGTGGGTGGATAGATGAATAGATGGATGGAGCGATGGGTGAATGATGGATAGATATATTGATAGAGGGATGAAAGGATGGATGGATATATGATTGGATGGATGGATGAATGAATGGATGGATGGATGAATGAGTAGTTGAATGGATGGATAGTTGGGTGGGTGGATAGATGAATAGATGGATGGAGGGATGGATGGATGCATAAATTTCCGTGTGTTGAGGCAAATCAAATTCAAAATGAATGCTTATGAATCTGAATGTTTCCAGTTCTTCAGTTCAGAATATTTCTGTTTTTCACACAAAAAGTAGTTTTACATCACTGTTACATCACAAATTATGTGCGTATTTTTGGATAGAATACTATACACAACTACTCTGCTTTGCTTTACACCATTAAATACCATTTTATTCTTAAATAATTTTGACTAGTTTGGGGTGTGTCCTGCTCTGTATTATTGCATTACTTCATCGCTGTCATGGGTGAATAACCTAAAGCAGTTAAACATCAGTACTACATTCAGTCACACCATCTGGTGAGCAAACAGAATAAATGCATTGCACCAAGTGAAACAAAGCAATTTCAGTCTTTCAGCCTGTATTACATAGAAGAAAACATCACTGGCGCTTTGAATATTAAAGCGCTGAATCCCGTCGCAGATATCGGCGCCGGACTCGACACGGGAAACCACCACCGCTGAAGCGCCGTCCGCCAACATGAAGAGCTCTCCAAGAGCGTGCTGAACTCGTTCAGTCTTCTCTCCGTAGAGTAGTCAGGAGCGGAACGATGTGATCGCTCGGCTCCGAAGCGAAAAGCTGAATATGCGCTGCACCTGCTGCCTACTTATACTCACGCTGTGATCAGCAGCAGCTGGATGCAATAATCGCATGCCAATGTGCATTGGCTCGTTTAGTTTACACTCGAAGTAGATTGGTCCCTCTAAGCGAGATCCCAATTCGTCGGTCCTCCGACGTGACGTCGAGAGTGACCGACTGAGAGGGAATGCTGGATTATTAGAGCTACAGCACGTTTTATACGACCCCTAATCCTCATCGCCCACTTTAATTTTCCATTTCAATCCGAGTTTGCGATCTTAATCCTGAGAGAAACGCCAGCCTCTGCCTAATGGATTGTTCTGTATGCTAAAGGCCATGTTCTAGCAGTTTTTTTTTGTTTATTTATTTATTCATTTATGTTTTGTTTATTTGTAATAAAATGTATTTTTAAATATTTTTTAAATATTAAATAGTCCTTGACATTAACTCTTTCCCTGCCAGTTTCTTAGCTTTTTGTTCAATATATTTTTATTTTATTTTATTTTTTTTTTTAATGAAACTTGCCCACATTCAGGTATTGATAAAAAAGAATGCATGAAGCTAGAATAAAACAGTTTGTTTTGTTTAAAAGCAGAGGCTTTGTTCTTATTGCATGTTCAGATATTCATACAACAAAATATTCATGCTGGCAGTGGCTGGCAACAAAAAAAACACTGGCAGGGAAAGAGTTAAAAAGGGGTTTAATACTCCTATTTTCTGACTTGTTCTTTTTCTCTTTCGATTTCTCTCACTTTCTCTTTCTAAATAGCTGCAGTGCATTACTCAGAGCACATCACTCTCACAGCAGCCATCAACACCCATTAACACTGTCATACCCTGCATAAGAGTGGTTCTTGTGAAATGACCATCGAACACCCCTAATGGATCCCACCCAACAACACTCAGCAACATACTTACTGATGCTTACTAAGACAAGACTTGCTATTACTGCTGCTCCTAATCAGCCTCAGAGATCTGAACATTATGCATCACTAGATCAAAAGCACCAATACTTTAGTATTAAGTTGCTAAAAAAATAATAATAAGAAGATGACATATCTATTTATTCAAAAAGTTTTTTTTTTCAGGGCATAGAGGACCTACAATAATGTACAGTATTTGAAAAATAATGTGTTTTTTTAACATTAAAGCATGTCAACATATTCTGTTACACCAAATACACAAAATAATGATCTTTTAAAAAGCATCATATAACCCTTTAAAGGACAGGACACACCAAGGTTTTCTTTTGTTAACCCTGATACAGTCTTAATGCAGTCTAATATTAAATTCTTACTGTTAAAATAGGCAATGTTAGGTATTTTGACCTGAAAAAAGTGAAAGCACTCAGTGTTTTTTTGCTGGATAATTTAGCTTGAATAAATTGGCATAAAATGTGAAATACTACTTATATATTATCTTATATATTATATGTATTAAATGTTATATACCGTATATATATATATATATATATATATATATATATACATATGAAGAGTTTATTTGCAAAAACAGATAACTTTACTATGTACTATGTTTTTTTAACATTTTCAAAAATCATGTTTTTTATTATGTTATCATGTTTTTATTGTGTTTTATTGTGTTAGTTAACTAGTATTTTAAGATATTTTTTAGTTTTGCAAATGAATTCTTAATATATAAATAAATTAAAAAAATAATAATAATAAAGAAAAAAGATATATATATATATATATTAGTGCTGTCAAATGATTATAATTGCATCCAAAATAAAAGTTTTTGTTTACATAATACATGTGTGTGTACTATGTATATTTATTATGTATGTATAAAAACGCACACGTACAGTATATATATTGAAAATATTTACATGTATATATTTATATTCATAAAATGTATATTATGTATAAATATATTTAATATATAAACATAGCATATTTTCTGAAATATATACATGCATGTGTGTGTATTTATATATA